CATTTTATGGAGTTTTGCATTTTTTATCAATAAACACCAGTTAGTATATATTTTCTGGCTGAATTTCTTTGGGGAACAAGATATGGACATTGCATTTTATAAATCTTTCATGATGATGTGTATTTTTCCTGGGCACACTTTCCTGGAAGTATTGCTGCACTCTCCACAACAGGAGTATTGCTGCACTCTGCTCAACACCATTCCTGAAGGCACATCACCTAGTCCAACCCATGAGATATAACTTCTCTGTTGTGGCCCTATGGAAGAAACTTCCCCCTGAGATTCCAAGGACCCTGATCCTTTTGGCTTTCCAGAAGGTGGTGAAGACCTGGCTTTTCTTCCAGTCATTAGAGCCAGGTGCTGGAGGAGCTGTATATGTATATGTATATATATATATGCATGTGTGTGTGTGTGCATGCGTGTATGTTTTTGTATTGTGAATTTGTGTCTTGGTTATTGTATTGTAATTATTTTATTGTTTTTTCTTTATGGTTTTTTTCCTTGTGAATTGGTTGTTAGCAGCCCAGAATTATTTATTTAAGATGGGCTGCATTTATATTTCTGAACAAAAGAAATCCAGATACCCACAGAGATGAACCCAGCTAATCTGCATCATCTAGGATACTGACTCCCTACCATTTTCTCCAAAATCTTCTCTAAAAAGGGAAATTTGGAGATTGTCTGCATTTAGAGATACCCTCTTTAGGAGCACTCTCTCTTCCTCAAGAATCATTAACCCCCTTTCACCCTGATGGCAGCCTGAAGAAACAAGTTTGAGTGATTTTCCACAAATCACAATGTCCTGTAGGGAAATCCTCCCACCTGTTCTTCTCCACAAGGTGCCTGAGCTGGGCCGCTGGACCCCTTTCCTCCCATGCATTCAGAGCAGAGAAGCACTGACACCCCGCTGCTCTCGCTGCCATGGCGTAGGCCCAGACATGACTTCATTCCTGTGTTTGGTCTTACTCAGTCCTTGTCTTCTGTCACCAATGCTCTTGGTGTCCTCAGTGAAGCAAGGGGTTCCCCAGAATCAGCACACAGAGAGAAGCTGCTTGGGCATTCACATCCAGTGCACTCGTTTCTGTATTTCAGTGCTTCTTCAGGAGCATAATATAACTGTCTGTCAGATCACCAGGAAAATCCCTGATAAAATCAGCGGGTGAAATCATCTGTTGGCATGCTGATGATACTTTCAGGCAACCCCCTGTTAAGGCCTAGCTTTTCTCCCCAGTGTTAGGAAGCTAGGGGAGTCCGCTACATACGTCTGCTGTGTGCATTTGCGATATAGGTCGTGCTCGGGTTCAGTGGCCATTGGGATCAGAATTTCCATTGCTAAGTGATGTGGTCATAAAACAGGAAGCAACAGCAATGGCAGTCCTGGTTGCTGTTGTAACCCCAGGGCTGCACCAGCCATTACCCAAGGACCTCACACGATCATGACAGGGGAAGAGGCAATCCCAGGCAATCAGGCCGGTGGGAGAGAGCTGCAGGTAAGAGCTACATACGGGTGGGTGGCTGTGCAGGTGCCATGGATAGGTGGGTGCTGCAGACAAGTGCTACAGAGTGCAGGCAGGTGGGCGGGTGCTATAGGCAGGCTGGTGAAAAAGTGGTGGGAGCAGGAACAACTTGTGACCTCCTGCTGGCTTTCCCATTGACTTTGCTTGTGGGAAGCTGGCAGGGAAGGATACAAATGGCAATCATGTGACTGTGGGATGCTGCAACTGTCATAATTGCATGCTGGTTGTCAAGCACCTGAATCCTGATCATGTGACTGCGGGGACGCTGCAACAGCTGCAACTTTGCAGAACAGCCACAAATCCCCCTTGTTCAGCACTGAATGAGTAGGTAAATGAGTGGTCATAACCTGAGGACTACCTGTATGGTGCCTTAGTTTTCTTTTGTATTGGATTATTTTAACCTTTTTTTGGTTTGGTTTGGGGGTTCTTTTATATTGTTTTTCTTATAAATTCATTAACTGCCCAGAATTATCTATTTAAGGTGGGCAGTATATACATTTTCTAAATAAATATATAATGCTAAAACATTTCCTCATCTTGCAGAGATCAGAGGTGCCAGCAAGCTGCATATTGACCAGAGAGTAATCTGACCATGTGTGTGCCTTTGAGTCAGTGTTGACTCCTGGTGACTGCCTGGCCCAGTCCTTGCAGTTTTCTTGACAAGATTTTGGAAGTTGGTTTGCTGTTGCCTGTTTCCTACGGCTGAGAGTGACTTGCCCTAAGTCACCCAACTGGCTTTGTACCTAAGGCAGGACTAGAACTCATGGTCTCCCAGTTTCTTGTCTGATGTCTTAACCACTACACCAAACTGGCTCATCCCTAAATCTGACTATGGCAAAAAAACTAATCACAATTTTCTCCACTTACAGATCACAAGCCATCTGCTCTGAGGTAAGACTAGATCCAGCATGGATCACTGGAAAAAAAAAGTGCATAAGCTGCCCAGGGTGGACAAACCTAATGGGTCTTTCCTCCCTATGGAAGTTGGTGGCACCATAAAGCTCCATAGGTTGTCTTCTGCCCTTGACCCAAGGGCTGTGATCATTTAATTTACTGTGACTTTCTCTTGCTGAGTTTCAGTTCTTTGGAATAGATTTCCACCAAGATTACTCATTATGCAGCTTATTTTTTATAGGTCCCTGTGAAATTGCTTTAGAGTAAGTAAATAAATTATTATCTGTTAGTTTGACTATTTAGAGGGTACATGTTTATAATTATCAACTGATCTCCAACCTTTCTTTTCTTGGGATGGTTGTTGAAAAGGTGGTGGGACTGTAGCTGCATAGTGCCTCAGGATGGCACTGACATTGGTCACACTTGTGGATGACCTCTGGCACTTCAGCTGAGCCTTGGGAGGCCACTTTTCATACCTATGTTTGATAAAGGAATGAGGAAGCAAGGATTTTTACACACAGCATAGTGAAGAAGAAGAGGAATCCCATGTTATCTGCATGAGAAAAGGAATGCCATCGTTATGTCTTCCTTGTGAGCCGTTCTCTCTCTTCTGAGGCTACAGCATGGTGGATTTAATTTCTTCTGAATTCACCCAAGCATTTTCACATCCCTGGGCTCTGAAGTTACGCTTAATGAACTCTTCTGAGATTTCTAGGAAGCTCTTTCCTTTTGTCTCAGGGAGGAAAAAACAGGCATAGAGAGCAGTACAAACACAGACTGTGAAGAATGGGAGATAGCAGTAATGCCCAAGGCTTTCCTGAGAGGAGGAGAGAGAAGAAAACAACATCAGCAGATAAAGCACACACAGATGGGTGCACATGAGCAGGCCAAAGTTTTGCTGCCAAGTGGCCCTCTGGGTCACCTGCTTTTTCTCCCAGTTGCCAGATAGAGCAGCTCCTCCCCAAGCAGTGTGTGGGCTTTTTATGGGAAGATCTAGCACTTTCCATGATGACTTACTGGTCCATAAAGGCAAGAGATGGAGGTTCTTGTACCATAGGATAGTCATTCCCTTCTTTGACTCCTTCACCTGCTGTCTTTGACATGACCCAGTGTGCCTCTAATAGCTTAGGCTGATAGAACTGCTTTCACTTCCAGTTCCTGCTCCTTGTCCCCACAATCCTGCTGCCCCACTTGGCCTTTATTCTGATCGGGTAGACTCAGCCCATAGATGAAGATGGCTGACCAATACAGCTGTCTTCTGCAGTTCAGGGGTTGATTGCACTGGGCAGCTGCCCCAGATCCCTATTCTTAGGTCAAAATTATATCTGCAAAAGTCTGGGTGATCACTTGATTTTTTGCAGTCAGGTACTGATGATAGTCAAGATTTGACCTAGTCAAAATGGTGTCTCTGGACAAAATATTTTTGTGGAAAGTGGGATGAGGAATGAAGGGGTCATTATCCAGGCAAATATGAGACTAAATTATCTTGCAAGTGAAGGTAGGGGACAAATTGAGAAATCAGCTTGGGCAAAGGAAAAGCCAATGAGAAGCCTAGGCAGCCAATATAGGACCATTTGGCCTCCCTCCCCTCCCTGTTCCAAGGTGGCACAGTCACTGCAGGTAGAAGACATGCTGTCCTGCAGAGGTCTGAACATTAGAATTTGCAAAGAATCTTCCAAAGATCTATGCCAAGTCTGAGGACTGGCATGCTGAAGTTGTTCACTTCAGTTGATTTATGCATCCAGGAGCTTTCCTGCTGACCAGAAATAAAAAAGATGACAAGCAGTGGAGGGAAACCTTTGGCACAGCAATGGTCATAGTCCAAAAAGTGGGATTCTAACACTGGACCCTGCCAGATCTGTTCCATTTTCCCACCCAACTGGAGAGAATGGCCCAATATAGGACTCCAGAGATTCATGAACTAGGCCTCTGTAGCCTGTCCACATGGAGGAGAAAGCAGGGCCAACTTGCTGGGAGGGGAGAACCTTAGTCACATGACTGCCTAGCAATCAGGAGGAGTTACAACTGGATCTAAAACAGGAGGAAAATGTATGCTTGGGAGCAAACCCATTGGGTGCTCACTCTGCTTGACACCCACACATGAGACAATGAACTTCATTGTTGGACAGAAAGGAGACGTGCCTAAAAACCACTCCCTCCCACTTCCCCCATTGCCCCACACGAACTATTTGATGCTTTCAGAGATATAAATATAGAGACAGCCTACCACAACAAAAGGAAATGCCAGGCCCACCAGAAATAAGTTGATCCAGAGTAGAGAACCGTTGATCGTGTAAGCAGCTGGACGGGTGACCTGATCAAAAATCTCCGTGGGTATAATTCCTGTCACACCAGCTAGAGAAATCATGCAAATTAAATACTGTTTTCTAAGAAGAAAGATAAAATATGGGGCAAGTATCAACCCAATTTCTGGCCATTCCTAGGTTGGGGGTGTACAGTGTGTTTTGCCCAGGCATGCCAGAATGGCAAGTAACCTCAAGGTTTGCTAGTCAGTCATGGGGAGCAGCTAAGCCACTTGTGTCTGGAAGCAGCCTCAGAGCCCGAAGCTTGGCTGTGGATAAATTTACACATTTATTCTGCTGAGCAGCCAGAGTTAGGATGTTCTGCTCACAGACTTTTTCTCTGCTTGCTGCCGCTTCACTGCATATTATCCTTGGCATCTTGAAATAATGTAGAAGGACTGGAAAGGTTCAAAGAAGCAGACACTAAAATGCTGGCATGCCCATCCTATGCCATGCAAGCCCCCAAAGATCACCAATCCCTAAGTCACCTGGAAATGAATGAATGTGTGGTGGCACCTTTTTCATGCAACTGTTCAGAGACCCTCAGTTCTGTTGTAACTAACCTGGTCCGATGCCAAAGCTCAGGATGTAGGCAAAGATGCTGGCCATGCTGAGATAAGGCATCCAGCTGAGTTGATCCTGCAAGGCCAAAAGACCAGTGGGGCAGGGGGAGGGAAACGGGTAACTCAGGAAGTGTCTAGCATTTGAAATTTGAAGTCATGGGGTCATTCAACAAAAAGGAACAAAGAGAGACTCTTACCTGTAGAGATAATGCTACCATGAAAAGGATGGCCCACACAGCCATCAGGCTGTAGCCCCCTATCAGCAGCACCCGTCGTCCAACGTACTCAATGAGGAGGTTCTGGAAGACAGCATCCCAGGGAAGACACTTCATAGTTGCACACCGTGAAACACTTAGGCAGTCCACAGAGGCATATCCTGAAACACTTAGGTAGTCCCATGCTCCCTCTGCCCCCCCCAAACTGGATAGATGCAAAAGAAATTTGGGAAAGTCGATATGCTAGCACTTTCTAGAGGCTGGCTAATTGATCATCTCCTCTTGATTTCTGTCTATACTTTTTAGAATTATAACAGCTTCAAGAAGTGTCATTTATTGAGAGCAATTCATTTTTTTGTGTCATATGGATGATGTGATACTTTGCTAAGGTAAAAAAAGACTAACACACTCTGCCAACTTTTGCAATGCTTTAAGAGGACAATATTACAGTCATGTGAATTTATTTTCTAAAGAGTACAGTTTGGGGGACATGACATCACACATGCTGATCCAGAGACATTTCAGACAGATGAGAAGCTTCTTATCTCTTGGATTGTACTATTGGGCACACTGTAAAGAAATTGCCATACTGGAAGGTACTATTTTCTTATACTGAAAAATGTAAAAAACTTTACAGCAGCTTCCACTCATTCAGTACTTTGAGGATCCTGGAACCCAGCTGTTCAGAATTTTCCACAAATGATTGGGAGTCTGAAGTCCTAATAGAAATTGTTGCCCACTGAATCTTCTATACAACAGTGACAGTAGGGTTAGGGGTCACTTCACCAATTTAGGGGTCACTTCACCAATTTAGTTGGAAATCTCCTCCACTCTCTGAACAGAAGGATACAAAGGCGCTTGTAGCTAGAAACTTCAGGGCATAGATGTAGAGGCCTCATTCCCTACCAGCCCAGAAGCTGGACAGCTGTTGTTGGGAATGCAGTTTGCCCTACCTTGCCACCCCATCCTGATCAGACACATCTACCCTAATCACTCATGACAAGTATGCTTGGTCAAGGGCCTCATCATGAGACAGATTACATGGATCCCCCACTAACCAGGAGACTTGCCTATGTGGTGAAATGTATGCAGAGAAAGTTGGGATGACAGAAGGTCTCTAAATACTGAGAGGAACTAAGGTTGCCATAGCTGATGTCAGTGACAAGCAAAGGATATGACCAATGCGGTAGAGGCCATGGGATTATAAACTGTTGGGCCTTATCCACTAACTGGCAAAAACAGAGCTAGAATGTTCCAGTCCACTGGTGTGAAAGACTCCCCAGATCTAGCATCAAGACAACAACTATGCACATAACCCTCGGGGCAGACATGATGGATCTCCTTACTTCAGGAAACAGCAGCTGAATGAGAGAATCACTGGAAGGAGGTGGGAAATTATAGCTCACACAACAGAAAGGAGGAAAACGTGACCTGCTGCCCAAAGCAGACCCGTGACCTCCTTGCTGTGACAGAGGTATGCTGGCTATGACTTAGAAATGGGGTGCAGCTATGCCAAGGTGCAAGGGCTCCTTGTAATTGTCTAGAGGACTGCAGTGGGATACAAGCGGAGGGAGATCAAATTCTCACACAAGTCATGGACATGATTAGCTCACAACTCCCGGTGCCAATAACACTGTACTGGATCTTGTCATATGGAATCCCTGCCTCTTGGAAAACATAAGAAGCGTAAAAGTACATCTGCAGGAATAAAGAAAGAGCCAATATTAATGTATCATTTCTATATTAATCCCCTATTTTTCATTACCTCTGTTCTAAATCGGAGGGGGGGAGGTTAATCTGCTAATCTGAGAAATGAAACTCATGAAGATGGTAATGTAAGGCATAAAAAAGACATACTGCAATTTAAGCAACAAAGAAAAATCTCCCAATTCCCTCCAAAACTCCAAAAAGGGATTAAAGATTAAAGATGATTTAATAATCCCTGACCCTAACCCTAACCCCCCACCCCCACATTTTAGTATTGCACTTGGATTGTGCCAGGACAGTCTCCTGCTTCTTCTAAGGAGAAAAAGCTTTTTCTGATGACAATCCTTACCCACTTCCCAGAACTTGGACTTCCCAGGGCTTGCATGGTATCAGCAGCCAGTCCCCCTGGCCAGGCTGCTGGACTTACTGAATCATTGCCACAGAGCTGCATGGCGCTGCTGAGCACCACAATGGTGATAAGCTGCCACCTCACTGCAGGGTTCCCAAAGAGCTCCCAGGGTGCCTTGGCCACCTGTCCCTGGAGGGCTGCCTGCTCCGCCAGTATTTCTTTCATCTCGCTGCTCAGGTCCCTGTTGCCCCTCAGTTGCTGCAAGGCTACAAGAACCAAAAGAAGAGCTTGATGGCCCAGAGGGTAACACCCTTCTATGAAGATGTGGAGGCATCCAATTCAAGGGTGTCCGATGTTGGGTTAGAACTTCCCAACATATTCCAAACACTTTGTCTCCTTCAAGAAAAGCAGAAGAGGCACAACAATGGTGCAGCGTCTCATGGCAGAAGTATCAGCAGTTAGGTAGGGTGACTGGGCCACAGAGTCCATTGTTAACCCGAGATGGGAAACAAAGAAAAGATTCTTACACCACTTTGCTTCAGGGAGGAAACATTACTCCTGCAGGGTACAAGGATTGCTTTAATCCCCATAGGTCATAAAAAAGTTAACGGCCCCATTACACAAGCCTGATTTTCTCCCTAGGTGTGCTCCCATGTGCCTGTAACACACAGTGACTTGCTCTCTGGGCTGGTAGCTGCCACTCTGGAGAAATCTGAGTTGCACAAAAGTATCTCAGGACTGCTCACCAGGATGCTGGTCTGAAAGCACGCACTTACCACAGATGCATAACTCTTTATCTCCTTGGTCAATCAATAGATAGCGGGGGCTTTCTGGAGCCCACGGCAGAAGCACCAACTGGACCAGCCCAGGCACTATGTTGCTGGCTAGAAGAACAGGCCAGCTCTCTTCTGCTCCCAATATTTCCCTGCATTAAAATCCAGAATCACTTACGCAAACAGAATCCAGGAAACTTTAGAAATGGGTCTTAGGGACTTATTTAACAGATTGCATTTGTTTAACTTACTTGCAAATTGTCACCACAGCAATGCCTCTTTATAAATGCATACAAAATAGACATGACAGGCCCTTTCAGCGTATGCTACCTCGAACTCTTAGGGTAGGATTTCTGTCCACACAATGGCTTTCAGTTTCTAGAGTTTAGCTTCAACTACAACGCAGACCATATCCCAGCCTCGTTTGCCCTACAGCAGGCCTCTATCGAAGGGAATGGGGGAGTTGGAACTGTGCCTTTTAGATCACATACCCTCCCAACTTGTACCTCACCTGAGTCCAGCCACCTGGCCGAGCACCAGGCCAAGTGCTGTGAAGGATGCAGAAGTCAAGGCCACAGCTCCCCGGAGCTCCTTGGGCGCGCTTTCCCCCAAGTACATAGGCTGGATGTTCATGGCCACTCCTGTGCAGAAGAGGCAGGCAAATCCTCAGCCTCAAAATGAAATGTGTTTGTTTGTTTTATTACATTTATTATGGCCGCCCACTCAAAGAGAAACATGGCTTCTGGCCAGAGCTGCCTCTTCTCTCTCAAGTTCCAGAACAGTTCTGAGTGGTCAGCCACAGTTTTTCACAATGATATGCTAAATAAATGAACTTTCCAACTGATGTTTTATTCTGTGCATACTCTCACATTTCCTTTCTCTGTCCCTGAACTATGCATTCCGTTTGATCTTCAGCTCAGGGGTAGCTATAGCAACACTTCCCTTAGCCTCTATAAAATGGAAGAGGCCCCCTGGGGCCCTCACTTCCTCCTGCTTCGGTGAATGCCCTCCTCCAGACACAGCCTTCCTTGGGCCTTGGGCTGGCCTTATTTTCAGGATGCCAACGTGCAGGCTTGCCATGCTGCTTCGCTGAGCCACAACAGGCTTTCCAACACTCCTACCCTCTGCTCTCCCCCTAAGCGCATCATGTTTCTTGGCAGGTGAGAGCAACACCATAAGGAAATCCAGGCCCCGGGGAGGCTCCTCTATAGGGTCACAGGCTGTCCCAAGAAAAAGGAAATTAATTCAATACTTCATTGCATTAAAAAAATTAAACCAACAATCCTATATAACTGTCACTGCCGGCCTTTTCATCCTGGCTTCTGTTGTTTCCTCCATTGCTCCTCTCATATCTGAGCCAAGAATCTAGGCTCTTCCTTGCGGAGGAGGGGACCTGTTGTGGGCAACGTATGCAGATGCCCAGTTTCCAATGAAGGGTAGCAACCTGCCTCTTCTCTTCTCTGGCCTTGGCTCCCTTCAGGCAGGAAAGTCCACAGAAGCTGCCTTGTGGGCAAAGTTATTTATTTATTTAGCTTGGTGCTGTCAGACTCAGCCTGGAAAGCACACACTGCAGTGCAGAGCCATTGGTCAGTGTCACCGAGCCGTTAGTCAGCTACACGCCTCAGGCAATAGGGCAAGGGAGCAATGTAACCGCAAGTTGACTACCAACACGGGGTGGGCAGTTAACTCGCAGCAGGGACCCGATTAGAAGTGGCAACACTGTACCACAGCTGGTGCCCCAGGTGCCCTGGGCAACTCTGGCTTACCATACACCGGGAGCGCAGCAATCCAGAGGCAATCGGCAGGTAACTCAGAACCAGATTAAAAAAGCCACACCAACTCAACATGAGAAAGGCTCAAGGAATGCAAGGGCAAGACAGACAAAGGACAAAGATCATAACACAATCGAAACTGGCTGAATCTGCCATCAAGGCGAGGGGAAGGAAGATCGCAATGGACAGATGGGTAGTCCAGGGCAAGGGCAAGGGCAAGGGGCGGAACCGAGGGGTAACTACAGATCAAGGGGAGAACCCTATAGAACTGCTGTAAGAAAATGCACCAAGCCAATCCTGGCTTTGTCTGTAACCGCTACGCATTATGCCTGAATAAACTAGCTTTCATCCGAGCCTGTGCCTCGTGAGGTTTCTGGTCAGCGCTGAATGCAGTGAACCTTACAGATGCTGCCTGACTCCAAATGACTCTGGGTGGCTGACAATACACCGGAGGATATAAAACCAATATAAAAGGAAACAACCAACAACAAAACCAAACTAAAGCAAAAGCAGGAAGAACAAGATGGCGAACCCAGCAAACAAGCCAAAACAGCCCACCAACATCTAATAACCAGTGAGGGGGCTCCAGCTATTCTAGCCCAAGGCCTGGAAGAACAGCTAGAATGGCCCTTCAGAACATCAACAGGGTGGGAGCCGTCCAGATCTTAGGTGGAACCTCATTCCAGAAGGTAGGCACTGCAAGAGAGAAGGTGTGCTTCAGGGTCCTGACAGATGGCATAGTTTAATCAAAGGAACCCAGAACACCTCAATCCTGTCAGCTTGAATCAGCCAGGGAGGTATCACAGGAAATAGGCAGTCCCTTAAATAACCAGATCCTATGCCATGTAGGGCTTCCTAGCACCTTGAATTGCATCTGGAAGCAAATGGCAACCAGCACAGCTCATGGATCAGAGGAGTCACATGGGCATACCAAGGCATGCCCATCACTGCCCATGCCATTGCACTCTTGGCATCATCAGCATATTGATGATACTGAACCCCAAACTGGCAGATGACTTCATCCAGCAGTTTCATGTAGTTGTTGAATAGGAGAGGGGAGAGAATTGAACCCCGTGGCACCCCACAGAGGAGGAAATGGTCTCTCTCCCCAGCCAACACTGCCTGAAACCAGCCCCAAAGGAAGAGAACCACCAAAAAATGGTGGCTTCCCATTCCCAACCCCCAGAGCCAGTCCAGAAGGATATCATGGCCAATAGCATTGAAAGCAACTGAGAGATCAAGGAAAACCAGGATGGATGCACCACCTCCATCCCAGCTCTGCCAAGCAGCTGGAAGGCAGACAGAGGAAGAAAAGCAGATTTTGACAGATACTTGGCTCCAGGTTGCAGCCCATATTGTGGTTAGGGTGGCTGATCTATCTTCAAGGAACAAACCCTGGGTCAGATAGTCTACACACTTTCCCAAATGCTGCAGCTGCCATGTATCAGCTCATGTCTTTGACCTACCGGAATTGATTCCAGCAAAAAATCTGCTCAGCAGGATCATTTCAAAGGATTTTGCCACCCGGCTGAATCCCGCCAGCAATGCAGCAAGGGCAACAAACACGTTGTTCAGCAGTAAAGATTTCTTCCTTCAGGGAACAAAGGGAGAAAAGCTTCAAAGGCCATGTTTCGCTCTGGGCATCTGCCTTTCCTGGACCTCACTTGGCCATTGCCAAGCCTCTGCTTCATTCACGGCTAGTCCTGCTGGCTCCTGGCATGGGCAGAGCGGCAGACAGCCTGGGTTCCAATGCCAGACCTTCGGCAGAAGGAGTGGCATGATGGTGGCCCTTTTCCCCAAAAGGTGAGAGGCCAAACCCTGAGAGAACAGCTGAACAAGGGAATCTGGGCATGGGAGTGGGGGATGCAGACTGGAAAGCCTAAATGCACGCATGAGTACAAACGAACAGCTCCAGCAGTCTCTGCCTGCAGGAGCTGCCTGCTGAGGCCCTGGCTTGCCCCCACGATCCCTGCATTCCTTGGGCTGCTTGGCTGAGCAGGAGGAAAAGCAGCCTCCAAGCCGTGTGTGACCCATGCTGTTTCTAAAGGAGGAGGGAAGAGCCAGTTGTTCCCACGCAGCAGCAGTGTGCAAACTGCAGCGCTCAGGCGGCCCCAGTACCCCCTTAGTTTGCAGCCCTCTGAAAAAAGCTTCAAGAGGTATTCAAGAGTGGAACATCTGTTGCTGGACTACAGCTCCCAGCTTCCATCTCCATTAACCATCTGGCAGGAACTGCTGAGGGCAATAATTCAGTGTCTGGAGGGCCCCAGGTTTCCTGCCCTCCATTCAAGTCCTAGTGACCAGGATCATCCATCTGGAGCCTGTCAACATGGAGAAAATAGCAGGTTACCAGGAATTAATCAGGTAGATTTAAGCTGAAAAAAGTAGCCTTAATTGCATTCCATTTGGTTTCATTACATACAGCTGATAAAGAGAGGTTCTGTGGTACACAGGCCAATATCCAAATCCCCCTGGTTGAATCTAGTTCAAGAAGGCACCTATATATTCCTACAAAGAGGCTCCTCCTTCAATGGTTTTATTGCAGATACCTGGCCCAGTCCAACAGCAAACCGCCAAACCCCTCACCTGCCCATCTTTACAGCCATGGGACCAGCAATTATTGCTCCAATCAGGCCCCCCAAAGGATACACGGAGACAATGAAGGACCAGACCAGGGTGATCATCTTTCTCTCCAGGGCAGTTCCAGTGCGATCCAGCCAGGTTTTATTGATAAATGTCTGGATGAACTAAAGGGTGGAGAAAGAAATATTGCTTGGGAGAAATCAGAGCTGGATCTTTCTTTAGGCGTAGCTCATGTGGAGCCCTCACCCACTGCAAACCTACTGCTCTGGGGATCTCCCAGTGTGGCAGCAGGAAGGAGCCATGACACCCACTAGAGAAGATCTGAGGTCAGTTACTCCATAGGCTAGGTCTCCTCACTAGATCTGGAAACCATACAGAGAGCATGCTCCTTACAAAATAGGGCAAACATCCCCACTGCCATTTTCAAAAAGGGGGCTTCTGAACCCTGCAACAGCAAAGGTTTCTCCACCCAAGAGGACAACTGCTACAAGTCTGAGGAGTTTGGGGATATTGATGTGCCCCATTTATGTTAAGTTTGTCCTGATGGAGACCTGAGGCTGACCTGTCCTGTCCCTCACCCTGAGAGTTAAATTCACCACCGGGAGCTGGAGAGGGTGGCACCTGCCAAGGCACTCATGTGATAAGCTGAGCCCAAAACATGGGGAAGCAAGTGGCTGTCTCTCCCTTGGGGGCACCCTTCCAATGAGAGTGGGGCAAGGAGCATGGTAAGAAAAGGATGGCCTTACTGTGGTGGGGGCGTTGATGATGGTGAGGTTGTAGCCATACTGGAAAGTGCCTCCGATCCCAGCTGCACAGACTGTCAGGATGAGGATCTTGCCTTGAAGCTGAGGAAGAATCACAGGCAGATGCTGTGGCACCTGCAGACTCCCAGGGTGGAAAGCTGCTGGGTGGTGGTGGGCAGTGACTGGAGCAGCTGTGAAGACCCAGGAAGTGCCCCCGTCCCCCGCTGGGCTGGGCTGGGCTAGGCTGGGCTGCGCTCCTCCAAGGCAGGAGAGGAAAGCAGCTGTCCCTGCCCTGCTCGCTTCCACACAGCTTTGTGGACACACCCTGGCCTGCACCTGCCCAGCGTCCGCATTTGGGGCTTTGCCACAGATGCCTCTGTCAGGACCTGCCCAGCAAAGCAAGACTGGGCCTCTTCTAGACGGATCTTTTTCAGGGTTCTGGGGCAAGTCAGGAGAATTTAATTGAGCATCAAAGTTCATCCATTAGGCACCTGTCCATCTTAATCCTTCTAGGCAGAAAGACCCAGGAAAGCAATGCCAATTTCTCAGCCCTTCACTCTCACAAATTCTGGGGCAGGTATTGTCCCTGTGTGCCTGAATTGTTCTCAGGTTTTGGTGCATCCTCGCATACCACTTTTGTTTGTTCAAAGAATGTCAAACTAGTTTTTTCATCTTTTACTTTCTGAGTAACAACTTATCTCAGTATGTCCAGAAAAAATAACAGCTTCTTTCACTATTATAAAGTGCAGGGAAATTGCAAAATTGTTGAAGTTCAGGAATTCCAGTGTAAAAAAATAAACACAGAATAACAGTTCCATTCAGGAGTGTGAAGAGAGGCTGGCATGAGAGGGCTTAATTCATCCTTTCGAGTTCTGCCCCCTCCCTCCATCCCGTGTATACATGGGTGGTGGGCTGGTGGGAGGGTCTTGCAGGCTTCCTTGCAAGAAAACCCTTAACACAAGTAATCTGTATACATGCTGTTGCAATTGCAGAAGCTTCAAAAAATGGGAAACCCACACCATCATACAACTGACAACTCAAGTCTGGACTCAGTCCCAGCCCTGTCCCCCCCCCCCCCCC